GAAAATGAAGAAAAAATGAATAGCTAGAAAAGAAAAAATCAAGGTGCTCTCATAGCGCTGTCAAAGTCGAGGCCTCAGCTGGCAAATGCTCTGGCATGACTTCAACAGCACTGTGCATAAACCATTCATGGCAAAATCTGGAATTTCAGTCATTATATTACATGTACATTTTCCAAAAAAAAATATTATTATCAGGTCAAACGAAATTTACTTGGTTTTACTTTAGTACACACCGTCGTATTTTTCTTAATGGCCATCTATTTCAATAAATAAACATTTGATCTTACTTATTTCGTTTGCATTTTATTCAAAATCATTACTTCATGTTTATAAAGAGAAACAACCATAATTTCAGAGCATTTTTTTATTATTTGAAGCCCTGGAAGAATACCAGGACTGGAAGATTGGCTACTAAAAAGACTGAAAGAAAAACTTAAATCCCAACAAGGAAACAGAATGAGTGACATTGAAGTTATTTGTTTTAAGACTTTATAAATGCAAAGAGGAAACAAAATGTTGCTTACATTGTGTTTCCTTGTAAAATCTCCAGTTATCCACACCCCCAAATATTTCTTACAGCAGGTGAAACTAACCTGGAGAAGGGTAGGTCAAAAGCAACAAGACACACAACAGTTATCAAGCTCTGCTCGTTGCTGATTCACTTCAACCAACATGCCCGGTGAGTTCTTTTAATGCTAAACTTCTGCAGATATAACATCTACATATTTTAGATAAATTGTTATTGGTTTCGATGGGCCAACACAGCCTGTTTAAAGAAATGACAAATCACTTTCGGTATTTGTGAATCTTGACTCATTGAATTATTCTGTTGACCAGGTGACATTACCTTTTTGATCTGAGTAAATGCAGACCAATCCAAAATAAAAAGCCAAAAAAATTCATATTTAATTTAAATGGAAAATTATATAGAGCAAAGCATTGTTTTGAACCTTTTTTTTTGGTGATGTTTTATCAAGCAAAAATCAGCATAAAAACAGATTATTACTTGAATGTTTGTTTTTTGCATGCTCACACAGACTCGAGCTTTGAGTTTGTCTTTATTAGATGCCTTTTCTCTCGATCTTTGTGTGCATTTGTATTTGTGTTTCTGCATGCATCATTAAGCAATACAATCTATGGAATGTATGATTAACTATTTCCTCTCTATGTAATATAGTAAATTAACTGATGTGACAATATGAATAAACAGTCCTGAATAAACTGAATAATGTTATTCTTGCTCATTTTGCTTTTTTAGTTCCATCCAAAAAAGGGAAAACAGCTCAGGCTCAAAAGTACCTCGAAGGTAACAACATCTTTGAGAAGTAATGAGTGTGACTCAGTTGTATTACTTAAGTAACCAAGCTTGCTCTGTTACAACAGAGGAATAACTCAGAGTAGTCCAGAAGTGTCAAGTTTCTGACTTGTAACGTTTATCCTTCCTGTTTTCTTTTCCCTCCAATAACAGAACGCAAATGTTGCTATTTATTTATTGTCTTCACTTCTTTTCAGTGGAAAAAATGTACAGGATTGTCCTGCTGGGAGACAGTGAAGCTGGGAAAAGGAGCCTAGAAAACAACATGTTTGGAGAAGATGCATTTGTGGTTGACAACACTGAATGCCAAACTAAGTCCAAATCTCTCCATGGAAGACGGATTACCCTGATCAACACTCCTGATTTCTCTGGCCCAGGTAGATCAGAGGAGGAGCTGAAGCCTGAAATACTGAGGTGTGTCACTGAGTGCACTCCGGGGCCTCATGCTTTTCTCATTGTGCTCAAAGTGGGGAAATCCACAGAGCAGCAGCAACAGAAGGCTGTTATTGAGAAAATAAGCCATTATTTCTCAGAGGAGGTTTTCAAATATGCTGCAGTTGTTTTTATTCAGGATGGACCAGACTCAGATAAAAAGAAGATCAAAGAGTTCATAGATCAGAATAAATATCTGAATGATCTAATGAGGAAATGCAAGAGCCGATACCACATCATTAATAAATACAACGGACAGGGTGACAAGATCAGCAATCAGTCCCAGGTTACAGAGCTGCTCAACACAATAGACCAGATAGTTGCAGAAAACAAAGATTGGCGCTACACCAGCAAGATGTTGCCACAAGGAGACACCCACAATAAGGCTAACAACAGCATCTCTGCAGACGCTCCAGACACAGGAAGAGCTGGAAGGCCAGCAGCAAATGTGGAATTAACAGTTAGAAGATCCTTAGGTGATGGTAGTGTACCAGAATGGGTAAAATGGGTAGAATGGGTAATAGAAAAAATATTCAATTTATTACAGTGGATAAGAAATGATTGTGACTTGTGGATAATTGTTTTCATCTCGTTACTTCTGACATGGTATCTTCTCAAAGTACCATTTTTGGGACCCTTCTGATAATTTTGCTGTTTGTGTTTCTTTTTGAGATTCGTGACACGATTTAATTACAACACCAGACAGAAATGTATGATCGTGTGACTGATTATTCAGCCTCTATGAGGTGTACTTACGATTATTAGATATATTTCTGCATTTGAGATTTTGCAAAATGTTATGGAATCATTATGATGTCAAAAAGGCACGTTTTTTTTTAAAGTGTGTTGCACATCGCTCTCCATATCTTTCCATATATATGATATATGGAAAGTCTGTCAGTATGTTTCTTTTGCTTTACACAATGTAGATTAAACTTGGACTGTGACTTGCACTTTATTTGGTTTTTTGAGGGTCTTTTTGTTTTGTTTTTTAGGTGAACATTGACCTTGGGTGCTAACAATGAAGGTCAAATTCAAACGCTTAGCCAACCTAAGCCTATTATCAAACAGGCAGACAGAAAAGAAACAGAAAACAATTACATGCTCCCTCCTCTACAGGGGAGAATGAGGTAACATTAATTTTTTTCATGTTAAAGGTTGCTTGTAGCATATGTGTGTATGACAGATGTTCGCATTATTGCTGGGTGACCAGTTTGCTGAGAAGCTGATATGAAACAAATAAAGCTTTGAATGATAAACAAGAGCGTATCCAAGTGTGTGAACAGCAAAATTTTTAAATCAGCAGTTAGGCTAACTGACTAAGTGATTATGTGCTACTTTTAAGCAATAGGCAATACCCCTATAATAAAATAGGTAACATCTCATATTCTTATTAAAAGCAAAAAGAAGAGGCACATTAGCTGACTGATCATTCTCACAAAAACTACTCATAAGCCTATAAAATAATAACACATGAACCTGGAAGGACAGAGTTTTGCAGCTCTGCATGATGATAATACAGCTCTGGAGAAAAAAAAGTGACCAACTAACAGGAAGGGACAACAAGATTGTTGTATTCTTTTTTAAGTCTCAATTTTATTTTGATTTCACTTGATTTAACTTTATGCATCAAGCAAAAATTTAATTATATGCAACATTCTCTGACTGGAAGAAATTTGTTTAACATTTAAACCTATTTTCTGCACATTCCAGCACATAATATGTATATATATATATTTTGTTTACACTCAGTCTTTCAAATAGATGCAAGTAAAACACAGCAGAAAATAAATAAAATCAAAGACTAGCGGTCATGTTGCTCTATTTTCACCCATAAAGCAGGAGCAGGGTAGGCGGAGGTTTATTCTGGTGCAGGTGTGCCGCAGCGGTCAGTGGAAGAATCCGCGAGTTTCTCTGTGAGTTTCGCATTACGTCGTAGCGCACTCAGCGCTTGCTT